GCTGTCGGAATGTAGAGCTATTTAACATTTATTTTAACAAATGATGCGGATAACATATAGCCTACAGCAGTTTGTATGCATCGTCTTCAAATTATTTGAATCTTAATAGCCTAAAGCTCTGTTTAATACAACGTAAATTAAACATTTTTCAAATCAGATTTATTCATTCAAATGATCGAAAAGCCAAAAAATAAAAAATAAAAACGTGTTGTCTTAAATAATTTTTTCAGCTGGCGCGTGCTCCTTCGTGGCTCCACCACCTGCTGCCCCTGCTGCCCCTGCTGAACCCAGGCACCGAGGCCGAAGAGGCTGTGATCCGGCTGTCCTTACAGATATTTTTATTATCATCATTCGACATGTAGAAAGAACGTGTAATCTATTGAGTCGATTTACATAGATAATTCACAATCATAAACCTAATCTGGATCTTAAACCTGCTAATTGCCAACTAATTTAACTAAATGTGTTATATTTTTAATATTCTGTCATGTTTCGATTACGTGTTTCAAAGGCATCTGTGTATTGTGTACATAACAGAGGGCAATACGAGTTCAAATTGTAATTTCCAATAGTGACGAGCAGTATTTATGTGCTTTACTACATTTACACAAGCACTACGAGTGGTCAGGAGCAGGAGTAGATTTTGTTAGTAGCTACGAAAAGATCGGAGCTTCTAAAATATTGATGAATGCGGACATGCACGTAAATTTCCGTCTGCGAACAGTTTACACACAAATTCCTTCTGCTCACGTTTCATGAATGAGACCCACTGTGTTCTGTTTGCTTTACATTAAAAACTTTGGTTCATGTCACAGTCTGTTTCCTGTCGTTGATTTATCTGAAGCGGTCGTAGCACCTTTACACTACCACTCCTTTATAGTCTGGTAGTGTGATGGTGTTGACACAGGCTACAGTAATGACACATTAACACAGTGCAGCAGTGTGTCTACAGTCAGTGTTGAACCATGTGACCTTTGACCTGCTTATTAACATGCTGTAGATCACACTGGTTCAGAAAATGCGCTTAAATTTCTCTGTCATATCAACTTCAGTGTGAGTCAGTGTGAAACAGAATGAATATTTGTTAAGTGTAGTGTAACCATACCCAACGACCTGACGACCTCACCTGCACAGAAAGTTGCTGTCAGCCTTGAAAACAGTCAGTTGAGATTAAAGGTAAAGTGTGTCAGAGTTTGGAGGATTTGTGGCGTCTAGCGGTGAATTTCAGATTGCAACCAGCTAACAACTTCTGCTGGCCAGAATTCCTTCACTGTTCATTGTTCAGGTAGTTTTTAACGGGAGCTGAAGTATCAGCAGAGGTCTCTTCCTCTCCAAAACAAACTCAGTACAGACATGTCATGTTACTAACCAGCGTAACTCCGGGCTACACATTGCAGTTGGGCTTCTTACTACAGCGGCCGAATGCCCTTATGTGGAGCCAGAGTTTGGTTTGTCCGTTCAGTTGTTGTAGAAACATGGTGATGCAACATGGTGATCGTAAAAATCTTAGGCCCAGAACACAGTGCATGTGTGAGCAGCGTGTGAGGGAAACCTTGCTGAACTGCTGCGATTCACAGTCGGTACGTTTCCAGTCACAGTGAAGTGGAGCTACAGTTGCAGCTGGACAAGGACATTTAACTGGACTACTGTCCTTGTCCCAGTATACAAGCACGGGAGGGGAATCCATTTATTGAGCCAAGTATGTGCGACTCCTCTACGATAGGTGGAGATATGCCCCCTTGTGTGTGGGCACTAAATGGGCTGAAGAACAGGCCCCATGTGGGATTGTTCACAAGTTCCATGTTGACCCCGTGTCAGTTCCCCACATAGGTGGGTTTACCCAAGTGGGCTCCACATGGGTTATGCTAATGCTACCTGGGTAGCCACTGTGTATGAACCCAGATAGGCACAATATTTGGGGATCAGTTGGGTAATCCCACCTTTGTGGGCAATTGACCTATGGCTAAGCCACGCCCCCTCCACTCACTCAGACAAACTATCAACATTCAGTGAGCGGCGCTATGGCAGGTGTCACAGTACACGGCATTTCACAGGAGGCAACTGATGATTTTTGGGGACATAACGATCAGATGTCATTGAGAAGTAACCAAAAGGGCCTAAACTACGCATTGGAGGGATATATTCATCATTTTATTGTTGAGAAGGTCGATGAAAAGCTTAAATTACAAGCCAAAATTTACAGGTCACAGTGTACGCTTGTGAACCGCATCTGGTTGCCGTCACCATCAAAGACAACAAGTTAAAGTGCCACTGAAGTTAAGGTTTTTGGCTCAGAATATGAGAAAAGGATAACGGCCTTTTTACCATCTTTACCAAGAGTGTCTCTCCGTTAGTTTGGTGCTACAGTATTTACACTGAATCATTCAGCATAACGTTTGCCAACCTTTGTTATCTCTGCCATTACAGATAAGTTAATGAAGCTAAGCTCCAGAAGTTAACGTTAGCTTAACTAGAGCCCTTTGGACAACAGCTAACAATGATGTACGATCACCAAAGTACAAAACTAGAACAAAATAGGCTAATGAACTCCCAGCAAACAAGGTGACATGATGAACAACGCAGCTAGGAGCTAACGTTAGGCTAACTTTAGCTAACGTTAGCTAGAGATGTTAAAGATAACTTTATATTTCTTTCCAGCAAAGTGACAATATGTTGCCTCAAACACAATGTTGACTTACCTTAGAACAGATGTAGACATCATTGTTAATCTTATTCACGTTGAGTTGATGTTGTGGTCTAACGTTACCACACAACTTTATCCAAAGGAGACACTTTTCTCGCTTGAGATGTGGTTTAAAGTGTAAAAAATACACCTGGTCGCCCAGCCTCTCAGGATACCTTGTGTCAGAGTTGCATGTACCCCATGCACACCGTTTGACCATTTTTAAACTTCAAATCTCAGAAAAAGCTCATAAAACCCAACAAACTGACTTTCTGTAATGCATTTCAATGGACGTCCAGGCAGAGAATGTCCCAGTGTATGGGAATGGCTATACGCACTGTGATTGGCTCATCGCGTTTGAGGGCGGGACTTAGCCATAGGTCAGTTGGCATGGTGCCACTACAGAACCTGGGACCAGGTGCATTTACTAAATCTTTTTCTGCACTATAAAATATCTGACCCTACATTTACAGTGAATTACTGCCTATAGTTGCATCACTTTCACAGTAAAGTGTAGAAATGCTGTAAAGTCAGAACGCTTTCAGAAATATAACGTTTAAATACAAAGTGAGCGAACAGAAGAAAAATCTGTATCAACTCAATATTTGGTGTGACCACCCTTTGCCTTCAAAACAGCATCAGTTCCTCCAGGTACACTTGGACACAGATTTTGAAGGAACTCTGCAGGAAGGTTGTTCCAGACATCTTGGAGAACTACCCACAGATCTTCTGTCTTTTCATGTATCCTGGACAGACCAGATGATGTTGAGATCAGGGCTCTGTGGGGGCCGCACCATCACTTCCAAGACTCCTTGTTCCTCTTCACGCTGATGGTAGTTCCTCATGACATTGGCTGTATGTTTCAGGTCATTGTCCTGCTGCAGAATAAATTTAGGGCCATTCAGACGCCTCCCTGATGGTACTGCATGATGGATAAGTGCCTGCCTGTATCTCTCAGCATTGAGGACACCATTAATCCTGACCAAACCCCCAGCTCCATTTGCAGAAATGCAGCCCCAAACTTGCAAAGAACCTCCACTATGCTTCACTGTTTGCTGCAGACACTCATTGCCGTACCGCTGTCCAGGCCTACAGCAAACAAACCACCTTCTGCTACAGCCAGATATTTCACACTTTGACTCATCAGTCCAGAACACCTGCGGCCATCTTCCTGCAGTTTCCCCATTTCCTGTGTTTTCTTGCTTAGTTGGCCTTGTTTTCACATCAGAGGTTTTGGCTTTTTTGCCGAAGTTCTTCCATAGAAACCACTTGTGGTCAGACCTCTGCGGACAGTAGATGGATGTACCTGGGTCCCACTGGTTTCTTGGCCGACCACGGCGTCTGCGGTCCTCAACATTGCCTGTGTCTTTGTGCTTCTTGAACAGTCTGCTCTGAAACCTTTGCCTGGGACGGACCCTGCTGATGCAGTGCGACTTGTGTCTTGTTACTGTGCTCAGTCTTGTCATGGTGTTTGACCTGTGACATCTTTCACAGCCTCACTTTGGCAGCAGAGTTTGGCTGCTCCTCTCCCAGTTTGAAGCCTCCTACACAGCTGTTTCTGTTTCAGGTAACGGCTGTGTTTCAACCTGCACATGAAACTGATGATCATTAGCACCTGCTTGGTATGACTGGTTAATCAGACACCTGATATGATCCTACAAAATCCCTGACTTTGTGCAAGTGTACCTGGAAGAACTGATGCTGTTTGGAAGGCAAAGGGTGGTCACTCCAAATACTGATTTGATTTAGATTTTTCATCTGTTCGCTCACTTTGCATTTTGTAAAATGAGAAAAACAAAACAATTAAACTGGAAAGCATTCTTACTTCACAGCATTTCTTCATTCCTGCATCAAACATTTGCACAGTAATGTATAAAAGCAGGAATACAGACGAGGCGTGTTGGTCCTCACCGCTGTTACTTTTCCTGACTTCCTGTAAGTGCTGAAGCTGTTTACTGTTGGAAAAATCAGTTTCACATCACCGAGGTCCTCAGGTTGTATCAGAAACAGCAAACCAACAGCTCCCCCAAGTGGCCATCTCACCACACTACCTGCAACTGATGCTGCAGCACATCGTCTTCAACTTGAGTCAAGCTAAAAGCCTCTTATAACTTTGACATTCCTTGCTTTCAAAATAAGAAAACATGATTAAGACTATTACAAAGAATATTACTAATTGATGTGCAGTTGACGTGACTTTAAACCACACCTCAAGGTAACAAATAATAAGTGTTATAAATGTTTTTCAAGTACCGACAAATTTACAACAAAACAAAAGATAATTTATGACTTAAAATAAATGTTAAACACACTGTTGTTGTTTTAGGAGTTATCACCACCTTTTATTTTTCTATTATAATTAAACAAACTGACAAACTCTTGCAAATATCACTTGATACGATAACACCCTTGAATCTTCGAAGGTTGTAAGAAACCAAAAAGTCCTGATTAATGCAGATAACAAAAACAAAGGAGAAAAAAAACAACCGGTCATTTCAGAATGAAGTGGGTGTGAAAGTCAGAATGTCGGTTTCAGAAAGTTACAGAAATTTTCAGATACGCTCTCCCTCGATTCCAACGTTGCAAAGGTGTGTGAGGACGAGATGTGAGACAAAACAAAACAAGCTTTATATGATGTATACTGTGACCCTGCAAGTTTTTGTCTTTCAGCCCACTTTGGCAAAAAAATTTCATCTCATCTGCGACATTCCTCTCTTCATCTACATTGTTTACTCCTCCTCCACAGTCTTATTTTACACCTCATCTCCTCCGTCTTACTCCTCCATGGCTTCTAATCTTTCCTGTTAAAGCAGTCCTACTCCTTAATATTTCTCTTCTTCACTGCACATTTGTCTTGTCCTTTTGCGTTAACTCTTCCTCACCCTCACCTTGTCTTCCCCCTCAGTCATCCTCCTCGTCATCTCCTCTCAAAGCGTTGCGGAGACTCCTCCAGAACTCCCCGCTCCTCTCCTCGTCCTGAGGCCACTCCAGATAGGTGGTGGAGCTCATGAGTTTGCGCAGTTTGCAGAAGCGTTTGGGGATGTCGTCCTTGGACAGCGGTTCCAGCAGGATCAAGATGGCCGCGTCTCCGGCGGCATTCTCATCAAAAAGCTGGAAGTGGGAGAAGTCCAGCTCGTAGCGGCACCAGTCAGACTGGACAAAATTCTCAGAGAGGATAAATATGGTCCGCCGGCTGCGCTCCATGGCGCTTATGATGTTGTCCACAATCCAGTGTCCAGGAAGGAAGTCCCGCTTGTGGAGGCACAGGGTCAAAGGCCGGGGGGTTCTGGGGTTCACAGAGTCTCCATCGTTCTCACTGAAAGAGTAGAAACCAGAGAGCACAGGGGGCGGCTTTATTCATGCCATGTGTGGTATACATTGGAAGAAATTCATCGGAAGAAAGGAATAAAACAGTCTGACCAAAAATTTAACACTTCCAAAAGTTTTTGTAAAAGTCATCTTGGCTGCACTGAGCATCTTGTACCAAACTAATATTGAGATATTTAAAGCTTTTTGGACTCGTGTACCTCATTCAGAGGGTATGAGTAATGTAGCAAATTGGAAATGCCCAAAACTGTTCATACGTTTTCCTACGAAAATGACACACCCAAATTCATGTATCCCACAAATTTGAAAGGCTGCGATCAGATGCAAAGAAGCAGTCCCATGCAGTATTGAATGGAGGCAGGTTGGGGCGGTGGATGGGTCACAAAAACCCGGACTTTACCCCAAGACTTTCCCCTCGAGACCTGTGTTCAGAACTGTGTGAACTTTGAGTCATTTCAAGGTTCGTGCTCACCAAACACCTTGTTTTCCTAAAGCTCACCTCCATAACTTTACATTAATTATGTGACTGCATGTTGAGGATGTGACGTCATCTGTGGGGTGCTCATTCATGTTCTCGATACGTTGAAATGTCGCATGGCGCCACATCTACCAAACTGTGCTCAAACTAGCTCAAATACCCTGCAAACTAACAAACCAATTCCTCCAGGATCTGAAATGTCTGATTTCACAGCCACTTTTCTAAATGTTTTTAGGCTCATTTTCAGAGTGAAATTGTGGGGGCACAACTTGTTAGAGTAAAGAAAGCCCCGACCAGGAAGTAGTTACAATCAGACGCTCCAACATTAGAAGATTGGTTAAAAATTGTTTATGAAATTCACATCATGGAGAGATTAACATTTACTATAAAAATGCAATCAGAGAAATTTAAGGGACTGTGGTCAAAAAGTGTTGGATACATTAACTCAAGGAGACCATGTCAACTGGACAACCAAGGAGACTGTGTTGTGTGTAGATCTTCGTGGATGAATGAGTTGTCATTTTTATTTTTATTTCAAGAGCGCTGAGAGTAAGCCAAATGTTGAACTTTGCGTAAAATGCTGCCCTCGTCACTGTTGCTTTTTTTACATAGTCAGCGTCTGAAGTCAGTCTTCAGACACTTTGCTTAACTAAAGACTGATGACTTTCTCCCTGATTTTGTGTTTAGATGGTCGGATACAATTTCAGGGTTTAAAAAAACTCCCTACATTGCAGAACCAATAGTAAATCCGCAGGGCGGTCCTTCGGTGGCTCGCTGAACTCTTGTGCTTGTAAACATAGTCCCACTAGAAACACGTGTAGCGGTACAAAATGGCTCAGCCGCGCTCGCAGAAAATGCTGTCAAAGTTAGTGGATTTTTGTCTTGTTTGTTGCGACACATTCTCACCAACTAAAAGAAACAAACATAATCTTTTACAAGGCCATGACTCATCCGTCCGGCTGGACTATACATTGGCTTTGGCGCATGAGAAAAGGGGGAGCGCACATTTCCAGGAGGGCGTGTTCTTTTCAAAAATGCAAGAGGCGTTGCTTTGTTGCCAGCCGTTTTCTCCGGTGTGTTAAATACACTTTAGAAAAGAGTGTCCCCAGACTATCAGAAGGCGGAGATCTCTGATTGTCTGGTGGCGAGACTACTTTTTACGCAGCTGCTCTATGGCAATGGAGGACGGACAAATACCACAAAGACCAACCCTCATATCTTAAATGTGCAAGCGCTAAACAACAACAGTAGAAGACAAATATGCTAATATATTGTATATATATTTGTACATGTTTCCTCGTATGAACCCACAAAGACTGGGGGCCTGTCCTCTCTCAGTACATGCTTCTACCTTCCCTTCATCCAGAGCAAGAGCTCCACCTTGTGACAACATGTGGAGAATCATAGATATTTGTATCAAAGCAACTAGTTGCAACCAAAGCTGAATAAACGCTGCCTCCATAACACTCTCAAACGCTCCTGGCTGTATGTTTCCTTAAGGGAGCTCGTCGTGTTTAAATCTGGAAAAAAACCCACTTGGCTGGACCTGGGGCCTTAATGCCGTTGGACACAGTGCTGAAAGAACGCCTGCTCTATTTGCTTGGATACCACACGCTAACACAGCATGTGATCTCATTACTACTCATCATATTTTGCCGTTTGGGCAAAGCAACAGTTAACATCCAACTTCGAAACATCTTGATTGTCATTAAACCTGTAAATAACATGGATAATGTTAGCTGTGTGATGCTAACAGCCCTGTCACTGTGAGCTCCAGTCCCACAGCAGCAGCCTCATGATACATGGCATCAACAACCTGCGTGCAGCTCTACAATTAATTGAGCCCCTTTTAAACTGTCAGATTTGATTTTGAAAGTTGCAGTGACTTGACAACATTGCCCCGAATCTAGCAAACACACATAATTGTGCTGAAACATTCTTAAGTATTTTTAATAAACCTCTGATGTTACCTTGGCTCCTCCAGTTCAGGTACCAAGAAGTTTTCCACCCAGCTGGCGTCTCTCTCACTGTAGGACACAAAGGCGTCATAGGATAGCAACCCTTCTGAACCCTCCTCATCTCTGCGTTGCCGTCGTCGCCGGGAGCTGCGCTTGGCCCTCAGCCACGCCCACATCATCTTGAGGTACCAGAATGCATGGAGGCGCCACAGCACAGTAGTCAGCAGGGTCCCAACAAACAGCGCCACCCCACAGCTCACGGACACAAACAAAACCCGGTGGCACTCAACAACAGAGGGGTGGACCTGACCCACCAGATGCCCATGCCACTCGAAAGGAGAGTCGCAGGTGTAGCTTTCCTCTCCGTCTGTTAAATGCATGTCTCCACCTCCGCTGATGGCCGACTGGAAGAAGCTGACAAAGTCACAGGAGCAGACGAATTTGTTCTGACCCGCCTGGAGGTCCTGCAGTCGACTGTACGACTGGAGGTCTGACCGGGCGAACATGTTCAAGATGTTTGACTGTGGGAGAACAGAGAGGTGTCACACTGGGAAACACAAAGAGAACTGGAAGAAGAAATATGATTTGCAATTGGTCCTCACCTGTATTGTCAGTGTTTGCAGATTGGGGAACAGCCGCCCAGGGGGCAGCCTCAGTATCTTGTTCCCAGAGAGGTGGAGCTCTCTCAGGGCGGGCAGGGCCAGGGTGAAGCTTCTGAGATTGTTGTTGCTTAGATCCAACACCTGATAAAGTATAAGGTGAAGGTGTTTTTAGCTGTGATGGTGTCAGACCTGTCAGTATGACTGCTACATGGTCCACTCTCAGTACCTCCAGAGTTGCAGGAAGACACGGGGTGACGGTTGCAAGTTTAGCCCCAGAGATGTTGAGGTATCGCAGGGTGGAGGGCCAGGAGCAGCCTGGAGGCATGGAGATGTATCCGTTCCTGCTGATGTCCAGGTGGGTGAGTTTGGAGAGCTTTGTTACCAGCTGGCTCACTGCGGACAGAGACTGGACAGCAGAGGGACAGACATGTCTTCAAGCAGCTCAGGACATTTCTTCTTCAAACCTGGGGCTTCAAACTTCAGTATTTTCCAACCTGGACTTTATTTTCTTAAATCTTTGTAACTACTGCAGAGTCATTTGACCCTGGAGTGAAAGCTGCTTGTAGCCTTTCCCAATTAATAAAACAGCCACATGTTAGTGGGTTTCTGTGCAGTGGGAAAGGAGCTTGAGACACAAACACAAGGTCCAGATTGAAAAATACTGAAGTTATCAAGCGGACGGATTTAGTTATTGCAACATTTGCTTTTATTTTCTGTTCCCAATAAGTTTGGTAAAAAAATGTGCTAACTTCAAATTGCTTGTAGCTTTGTAGCTATGAAATAAAATCATAAAACACATATGAATTAATGGAAAACTAAAAAAAATAATAACACCTTCAGAGAGTTCCCGCTGACGTTTAAAACTCGGAGGTCCTTCAGCGAGCTGTCTCCCTTGCACAGCGACTCCTCCAGAGTCATGTCAGTCAGCAGGTTGTCGGACAGGTCCAGGTACTGCAGGCTCAACAGCAGTCGGGACGTTGCACATGGCATCAGAAACACCTGAGGGGAGAAGTCCTGACTTTAAAATCACCCTCATGATTTTAAATTTCAAAATTTAGACATTTATTGTTTTCTTTTAAATGCTGTGACCTTCTGCTTCAGGTCAAGGAGAAGGAAGAGTCAATACATCAGTGACAGCATTCGGATTTTGCAGTGATGCCAGACTTTGGTGCCACTTCTATTGAAGTTAATGAGGGGAAAGGGGGGCATGACAAATCCCACGATAACCCATCGTATCTGTGTTGTTTCATCTTCAACTTAAAAATGCTGCCGAGCTTATGTTAGCATGCAAACTCTCTGTTGAGACCACACACTGTCACAAAGTCTGGACCGCCTGGCTGGCATTGGGATCACTGGTGTTGCACTCTCCTGGTTCACATCATACCTCACTGCCCGTCAACAATTTGTGTAATTAAGGAACCACAAGTCTGGGTGTTCGGGTGTTCCACTGGGTGTTCCCCAGGGGTCAGTCTTGGGTCCACTTCTGTTCATCATCTACCTCCTCCCCCTGGGCACAATCCATATTCACTCTAACTAGACACTGTGCACTACACTTGTTTTTATGTTGATGTTTTGTGTTAACAATGTCTTTTATCCTCTACGCTCTGTAAGGTGACCTTGGCTGACGTGAAAGGCGTCCCAGTATACAAGCACAGGAGGGGAATCCATTTATTGAGCCAAGTATGTGCGACTCCTCTACAATAGGTGGAGATATGCCCCCTTTCAGCTTGTTAGTATTGGACCTTTTTCCTGTTGACCTATTACGTCACAGACCTAACAATCTCAATCCCGTGTTTTCGTCCCATCCATGTATTTTAAAATATTTAACTCTTTCAGCTGACAGAGCATGGCCTGTGTCTCCTTGTCCCTCTAAAACTGAATGTAGAATGCTGTCACTGACGTCATGAACCTTCCCTCTTTTTCAGATTCCTTGCTTTAGGAACAGTACGTAGTGGACTGATGTAGTAGTTGCCACATGTTACACACGCTATATTCCTTACCTGAGAGTTTATGAGAGACACCTTCCTGGGGTACTTCAGCAGAAACCCCAGCTCCAGAAACGAGACAAACTTAAAGACGTCCAGCACCACAGTGTTTCGTACGAAGAACTCGTCTACGCTTTTAAGATCGGACCGTCTGGCTCGTTCCCACCTACCACCAGTTGAGAAGCAACAAACCATCACACGTCATGCAGTTATTCGTTCAAGCAACACTTCACCTCTGGATATCAACTTTTTTAGTGTGAAGTAGTTTTATTAAGTATTATTAATTCATTCAACCGTCCATTCATGACACGACCCTTTTATTACAGCCGACATTTTGAGGAAAAGCGCAGGTGAAATTGACAAATATTTTAAATGTGCCAGCGAGCTATTCTGGTGAGCCAGCATTCACAATAACAGGACCTCCCCTGAATGTAATTCAGGTACCATTAATGCTATTAAAGGGTTACTTCACCGCTGGAAAGATGTCCGTTTAATTCAGCTATGATGCTCTTCATTTGTCATTAGGCATGTTTTTGTCAAAAAGTTGCAGAGTCTAGCAAGAAAATAGCTAATATTTGAACATGGCATCTGATAGGTCATGTTGAAGTTTCCTACCTGCCCTCGCCTGTCAGCGTGACATTATCCACGATTAAGGCGGTGAGTGGCACTCCATCCAGCACTTCCAGTAGGTTAACAATGGCCTCATCGGACACCCTAAAGTTGTGGAAGGTAATTTTCCTGAAGAGTGAAATCATACAGGAGCAGGTGGTTGGTTTCTGTGTCAAAGTGATTTTTCTGTCATGTGGCATTTCACAGTTTTACACGCTTACCCCCAAAAAACAACAATATTTGAGTACTGCATACATCAATGTCTCTCAGTTCCACATTTTGCTGGTTTCAAATGAAGTTTGACATCGACTGCAGAGCAAGAGGTGCTGCAGCTATACTGAGAATATTGCATTCATTTCCCTTTAATTACATTTCCCTCCCATTATTCTCAGTTTCAATCAATGGTTGATCTATAGTGTAAAGTGACTGCACTCTTAGCCCAAAAAGCATGACTGAGGAGCTTTTGTTACCATTGGCATTGCAGTGTGTGCTGCTCAGTGCTGCACAAGTGCTAAGACAGAAGAGAAGGAGATTGTGGACAAACCTGATTCTCCTCCTGGCTGACTCTCTGAAGGGCTGAACAGACAGATTCCCAATAAGATGGATGTCCTCTAGTATGAGAGGTGTCTCGGGGTACGACACGTCCCTGAGCACAGCTGAGGCTAAGGATATGTTTGTTAGAAATGGACTGTGGAGGCTCAAAGTGACACAACCCAACGGCCAAACGTATGCTAGAGTACCAGACTCGTACCTGCAGAGAGAGGAAGACACAGGAGAGGTAGAGTGAAAGATGGGAATAGTAAGACCTTTAAAGGGCATGAGAGCCTGCCGGTTCAATACTCAGTTCTTCAGTCTTTGGTCCTTACATGTCCCCTCCAAGAACCTCCACCTTAACTTGGTGGTAGCTTTTGTTTTACTTGTCTGTCTATGTCCCAACCCTCACCTGTCTGAAATGAGTTTCCTCTGTAGGGTGTCTGGGCTCAGCCTTAGAGATAGGGGGAGCAGTCAGACATCTGGAGGGAGCTCGGAGTAGAGCCGCTACTCCTTCGCATCTAAAGAGGTCCGTTGAGGTGGTTCAACATCTGATCAGGATCCTGGGCGCCTCCTGTTAGAGGTGTTCTGGGTATGTCCAACAGGTACGAGGCCCCGGGGCAGACCCAGAACATTCTGGAGGGATTACATATCTCATCTGGCCTGGGAACGCCTCAGGGTCCTCCAGGAGGAGCTGGAACGTGTTGTTAGGAAAGGGAGGTCTGGAATACTTTGCTCAGCCTGCTGCCCCCACAACCCAGCTTCGGATAAGCGGTTGAAAATGGATGGATGGATGGATGGATGGATGGATAGATGGATGGATGGTCCTTACATTTTCCCTCCATACATTTTAAAGGATAAGTCTGGGAATATTCTATGTCTTTGTTACCATCAACAGTTCCCATGAAAAGACCAAAGCCAATGTGTTAATTCATCTCTCAAGGCATTTGGACTTCCTGTCCCTGCCAACCTTATCACCAGCTCCATCATTTAACTTGCTTATACTTCATAATGTGTCCCGTCATCTGTGAGTATAATTCATTTGCTAAATTTGGATCATGTGACGCAAAGCGTTCGTCATCCTCATACAGTACAAATCACAGGGCCCATTAGATAGAAAATAAATCATGTCAGGATTCACACCAAATTTGAATCCACAAACTTTCTCATACAGGAAGTCCTACTGAATCTGCTCCCACCACGTTTTTATTTCATTTTTTAGAATAAATTTCACTGAAAGTGGCTACACAGTCACTCAGTATGTTTCTTCTTCTCTTACACATATGCTATTTGACTTCCTGGTCAAAGCCTGGGGCGGAAACTGTGGAGCATGCTCAGAGCGCCTTGGCCAGTTTGGGTCTGATTGACTGTATACATGCAGGAGTCACATGATCTGGGTGTGTTAGTCACACTAACATCTTCACATGGCTGACGCAATAAATCCATTTTCTCTGATGTCGTGGAAACGGACTGACTGATGTGTTGTGCCGTCTGTATGGAGCTACATTAGGGTCAAAAGTTTTTTACTTGAAAAAATAAAATTTGAAACTGAAAATTCATGTGTTGATCTTGAATTTTGAAAAATACAACAATGTATTCAAAATAAAAATAAGTACATTAAACGTTTTTTCAGGTTAAATATAATGTTGATTCACTTTGGTATTTCTTTTGAATGAATAATTTATTTTCACTTTTCACTTCCATATATATTTTAACATTTGAGGTCTTATTTTTTTCAGTTGCATGTTTTATCTTTTCAGATTCAGATCTTATTTTTTACAGTTTCAAATCTGTTTTTTCAGTTTCAGACTTTTGATCCTGATGTGGCGTGGGGGGCGTGGCATCAACTGAGAGGGGTATGGAATCATGAGTGACAGTGCCTTCAGGGAACGTAGGAACTAAACTAATTCTGACTCAACACTTACATACACCATATTCATGTGACTGGCAGTGTAAAAATTGATGCCAGTGACAAACTTCCATTTAGAAATCTGTTTTAGACAGTACTGAGCACCAATTGCTGTATAAGAGTTATAAATTATGCCAGATTTTGCAGTTCAACAGCCACATTTTATGTGCTGATATGTCCTATTTCCACATAGTACTGTGAACGCAGCGTAGTGTCCACTGCTATGATGGCGTCCGGTCGGTCGGGTCAATCTGCTGGAGCCCATACATCCAGCACACAGATGAGAAATGTTAACTAAGCTTTGGGAAATCATAACAAGTATTAAGGGGTCGTTTTTGTGACAACATACTTTTTCACAGCTTCATCATCACGGCCCTGTTGATGCTTCCTCATCCAGTAAACTTGTCCCCTAGGATTGTTTCCTTTTCTCCAAGCTCAAAGGTTTCATCCAGGGGACACGTTTACTGGATGAGGAAGCATCAACAGGGCCGTGATGATGAAGCTGTGGACAATCACACTTTCCAGCTCTGACAAATTCGCCACTTAAAAGACGTCACAAAACAAAGTATGTTGTCACAAAAATGACCCCTTAATACTTGTTATGATTTCCCAAAGCTTAGTTAACATTTCTCACCTGTGTGCTGGATGTATGGGCTCCAGCAGATTGACCCGACCAATCAGACGCCATCATCGCAGTGGACACTACGCTGCGTTCACAGTGTTATGTGGAAATCGGACATATCAGCAAGTGAATCAACATTATATTTAACCTGAAAAGACGTTTCATATACTTATTTTTATTTTGAATACATTGTTGTATTTTTCAAAATTCAAGATCAACACATGAATTTTCAGTTTCAAATTTTATTTTTTCAAATACAAAACTTTTGACCCTAATGTAGCTCCACGTCTGCCACAGTGTGGTTTTTAAAACAACCACAAGGAGTCGCCAAAGCCCAAACTTGTAAAATCCGGTAGAGGCTGTAATTACCTTCTAAGGAAGGGGCAAAAATAATCTTTCTGTCCTTGTGGGGACATTTAGCTCACATGTAACAACACTAATGCACAAAAACAGTGTCAGTTCCCACCTCGTCAGGTTGTTGGCGTGCACAGTAAGCTCCTCCAGCTGAGTGACTCCAAACAGATCTCCTCTCTTTAGCTCCTCCAGAGCAGGACCTCCAAACCTTAGCCTCCTCAGCCTGAACAGACTCTGAAACACTGGAGGAGAGCCCAGGCAGCTGCAGGACACAAGACTTTGGTCTTTGGACTTGGGTCTTTATCAATGACTGCACATGAAGATAGATGGAATAACAACTATCTAACAGTGAAGCCAAAACATCTCAATTACCCCTGGTGGCTGGCTGGCTGCAGCATGAGTGTTATATCTTAGGCAATTGGACTTGCTTGAGTTTCTTGAAGGCGTTTCACCTCTCATCCAAGACGCTTCCTCAGTTCTAACAGTCTGGTGCAGAGCAGGCTTTAAACCCTGTGCGGGTGTGAACCCTTACAGAGTCGTTAAGGTCACATGTGAGTCGTTGAGCCATCTTGTGTGTCATTAGGGTCAGATGGGTCCAGGTGTGAGTGGATGTTAAATCATCTAGGAAGGGATCCCAACACTGCATTGTAGGTGGATGGTAAGTGGTGTTGTAGGCCACCTCCTCTGTTTAAAGATGGTCATTCCAGTTTGATGTGGAGGACGTCTTTTATGGCTCTTTCACACCGTTTGTCTTCTCTTGCCAACTTAGGCCTCTTGGATGAGAGGTGAAACATCTTCAAGAAACTCAAGCAAGTCCAGTTGCCTACGATATAACACTCATGATTACCATGACCTGGATGACTAAAAATCTTCACCAACATGCAGCAGAGGTCATAAACCCTGCCCCCTCCACATCAGCAGATTGGATATATGTCAAACTAAAAAAATCAAATTTCACGTCAATTTTTTTCCAGAAATCATTTTTTGTAATTTTTGGTGGTTCTTATCATGCTGATGTTTGTTTAAGGGTTCATTTGTCTGAGTTTGGGTTTTAATTTGTTATTTGATGCTTTAAAAAGGGGCGTGGCATCATGACATGATTGACAGCTGTGTGTACCAGTGTGCTTTCTATCAGGAGCACTGCTTGGGATTTGGTCTGACGGGTTTATGGTCCAGACCTTTATACTGCAGTTCTACCGAGCAGACTCTGTCTAAATGATATTTGATGGGATGTTTTGACTTCATTTTTATACAGTAGGAGGAAGTGTGTATCTTTATAAACAGTCGATGACCTTTTTACTGTGACCTGAGCCCTTTACCTGTATGGGTTGTTGAGCAGGTTGAGCTCCCGTAGCGCTCCCAGCTTGCTGAACCATGTATGATTGAGAGCAGTCAGCTGGTTGTCGGACAGATCTAGCTCCTCCAGACTCCACAGAGAGTCGAACGCTGATGGATGGATCACAGCTATTCTGTTACCTGGAGGTGAGCAGAAGAAGAAGAAGAAGATATACCATGGTAATATCAACATATAAAAACACCCTACATTCTAACAGAAAGGGGTTCCACAGGGGTCAATCCTTGGACCACTGATTATCATTCCTGTTTGTGTTGTTGTTAATATTTCTGTCAGTGTTAATATTCTCCTCAGCATTGTTTATGTTCTTTTTCTGATTATCATCATCACTGTTCAACCATTCTCATTCCAAAGTCATCACACATCGCCACTTTGCATTCGCCTTTCAAGTCTACATATTACGCGCTAGGTATGCTTCTGCACCTGCTGTTCATGTTCTGGGACACCACAGCCAACGCCGGGACGTCAACAAAAGTTAGGTCTAGGCAACAAAAGCACGTGGTTAGGTTTGGAGAAAACATCATGGTTTGGCTCTACACTCATACAGGAAGTGAACACCAGCCTCAGGGGTAAAGGTCTGTGGTTTGTTGGATCCATCCACCGCCCCTCCCACCTGCCCCATCGGGACTTTCCTGCTCCTTATATTACATTGTTACTCACTGGGTGACGTCTGTCGTCCAGTGGCGTATCATACCATCATGACTGGCGCCATCCAGCTGACCAACAGCATATCATAACACTGCGAAATGTTCCTTCCAACCATGTTACACACTGATACCATACCAATGTGTAAGGTGACTTTTGGCATCAGCGTCTGATGCAGAAATCACTGAAAAAGCGTTTGTACTTGATGACTTTGGAATGAAAGTGTTTAATGTAGAACATGATGATGTCACAGTGAAGATGACCGGTCTCATGAGTCTGAGGGCCCAGCACAAGCGCTTTCTGTCTTTGTTTAAAAAAAAGAATAAAAAAGATCTGTCCAATATTCTCTTAACACAAATATGGACCTCAGCAATGTTGTGACTCCTTAATTAATCAGTAAATCAATTAATCTCACATTTCATGCACTCTGCACATTTATTCAGTTATCTTTTCTTTTTTTTTTACAGACAAGGCTAGATTTATTCCTGTAAACCCAATAAAATCCCATCAGCGTTACCGTGGAGACTCAAAGCCCTCAGTCTCAGGTGTCCCTTCAGATCATCAGCGGTCACCACGGTGATGTTGTTGAAGGAGAGATCAAGCGTCAGGGCGCGATCTGTCACCGTGGGAACACGGGTGAGTCCTCCGTGGGAACAGTTACAGGAGAGCTGCCGGTTGCAGCGATCGCAGGAGGGCCTCTCGCCATCTGGGTTTGATCTCTGACCCCAGCAGAGGGAGAGGAGGAGGAGGAAGAGGACCGTGAAGTAAAGGCTGGTCGGCTGTCTCATTCTGTAAGGATGGAAAGGAAAGAGTGATCGAGTGGACGAATAAATCAGATAGTGAACCGAGTGAGAAAGTGAGACATAGTGAATGAGTCTGAATCAGCAGGAGGACGCAGAGACACATGGAGGAACTGAAAGAAGATCAGGGAGGAACTGGGATCTGATAAAAGAGGAAGTCTGTAACATATTGCCACTTTCACAAAACCTTTATACACAGTGCACTGGCACTAAATACCCGTCAGATGAGAGTCTATAAAAGTGGATGATGACACACAGCTAACAAGCTACGGTAGCTCCCTCTGGCCTCCCGCTCCCCCAAAGTTTAGTGTTGCCAGCGTCACAAATTCATGTGTCAGAATGTAGGTCAAGAGAAATAATGTGCACATACTTTGCCCCTGAAAATGCATTCACTGCTCGTGGCAGGTCTGGGTGTTTTGGGTGATCAGGTGAAGCTTTAAGCTGGCATTCCTAAAAGTGAGGGCTCTGTGCAGGTGCAGCAGATTCACCACTGCCTCCCTCCCCTCCGCCCCTCCCCCGCCTACAACACTTTGTGATGGGTTTGATTTGTTCCTTTTAAATGTACAAAGAGGAACCTTCATGAACTTCTTCTCATACGGTGTCGTGCAAACGTTTGGGCATCCCTGGTCAGAACTGTGTTTACTGTGAGTAGCTGAGTGAGTAGAAGATGAACTGAGGTCAAGCTGAAAACTGTGTGAGAGAGGAAGAGTGGTGGAGGTGCACTGTTGTACTGTGCAGACACACCTGGACAGGTATGACCTTCATGGAAGAGTCATCAGAAGAAAGCCTGTCCTGTGTCCTCACCACTACATTCACACTCACAGGTTTGTGAAGGGACATCGAGACACGCCTGATGCTTTATGGAGACAATAAGTCAAAGGTACACCTGTCCACCTGTTACAGACGGGGTGGACGGATGAGACAAAGGGACACCTGTCCACCTGTTACAGACAGGGGAGGACGGATGAGACAAAGGGAGGATGATGTGTAACACACCTCCAAATCCACAATGGACGCCCTCAAGATGAGCCAGCTGAAGGTTAGGCCACGCCCCTCACAGTCCCCCGACCATAACATCATTAACCATCATGTGGACAGAGCTCAAAGAGCAGAGCATGAAGAAAGAACTGACAGACTCTGAGCTGGAGACAACCAGGGGGCGCTGCTGAGCACAGACCATGCAGGGGCCCAAATGTTCGCTTCAGGACCTTTTCTTTTCTTGTTATTTTGAAACTGTCGGAGATTAGAATTAAAAACCATCTTGATTGAAACACTGAGGAAATGTTTTGTCTTTAACTTCATGTCTTTTGGAGATCAGTTTGTCTTTTACTTATCGAACTACTCACAGTAAATGAGATTCTGCCCAGGGGCACAGGGGCAAAGCATTATCTCAAGTGCTTCCTTTATTCTGTCTTTCATCTGTTTCATCTGTGACGCAACCGAACAACTTCTGGTGTCATAACTGCTGTTGTAAAATGGAGAAGAGATAACGATCGGTCAGACGTCAGGCATGACAGTGTTTACAAAGTACAGTTAATGTTTTGCTCCAGGATTTTATCTTAAATCTGTTGCCTTACCTGATTTTATTTGCAGCGCTGCCTCCTGATGATGAGGGGAAGCCTTTTATAGTTAGAGCAGAGACACAAGAGAAGGAGTTTAAAGTTGTATGAGTATAACGAGAGGAAGTAGACACGGTGGGGGGGGGGGGCACTGGGGCCAAGTGTGAAAAGAGGTAGTGAGCATGTAAATTTACTTTCAGGGGGAAACGCATGAGTGTGTGTCTGTAGGAATGTATCAGTGCATGACGACCTGTGAAGAGAAGCACCGTGAATTCATCTCGAGCACATTTTCAGCCTTGTTTGCAGATATCAGTTGAACTGCAATAAAAACAATCAGTTGAATTTGATCAACTCTTCATTGATTATGACTCCAGACACAAGCTGAAGTAAAGTGGCCCAATGTTTTATTATCTTACATGTGGTTTCTGTTGCATAATAAGCTGTAACCATGTACAGGACCATGACCACGATGAGTTCCGCTCAGCATCAGGAAGTATAATCATGTGATCATTAGTAATGATGTAACATGCAAACGTCTCCTTTTTTAAACATCGTCTCTGTATTCAAGAATAAACACACGACTTTCAATAAAGCTTATGGTTAGGCCTGGTGTTCATCTTGACAGCTATTTTAGATTTAGTCTCAGTTTGAGACAAAAATGCTTCTTAGCTTTAATTACATTTTAGTAATTTTGGTCTTTCATAGTGTAAGTCTAGTTTCAAAACTAAACGTCAAAAAACATTTTAGTCGATGAAACTTTAGTCAACAAAAATTCCAGACGTTTTAGTCGCTGAAAATTCATAATTTAAAAATTCAAAACATTTTAGTCTGTCAAACTTTAAAAGGTTTTAGTGCCGTTTAACTATAATGGTAACAGGCCGTGTATCATGCCGACGTCAAAAGACGTCTTTTCTCGTTGGTGTCTGACGCTGCAAGTCGCTGCCCAAGCGCCAGATTTTGACAACTTCAGAGTAAGAGCAGGTTGCTACAACAGGAAACAGCACTTCAAAATAAAACTTTGTGCTGGAAATTCCCTGCACTTCAAAATTAAAGTGTTTTTTTTTTTTTTTAACAAACTTGACTTGTTCGCAAGTCACTTGCAGTCCATTTAGAAATGACCCACAGCCCCCCAGTTGGGAACCACTGACGTAAGGCACCTTGTTCCAGTTAATATGTCATCTACTGGTTCTCCCTTATTTCCCAACTTTTCGGCAAATTTGGAGAATTTATTTGAGACGTAACAATTACTCCATTAGACCGATCAGATCCAGCAGCACACTGAAACGCAGGATGTGCACAGTGAAATGAAAAACAGCGAGCATATCAGCTCACATTGAGATCAAACTTTAAATGAACTCATATAACTCATATAATAAACCATACACACAAACATGCATCAAAACACACAGTGAAGGTCATTTATTCTGTCACTTACATGACCCACAGTCACTACATGTGACCTGTGTTTTGCATCTCTGACCACAAACACCAAACTGGGACAAAAAGCTTTGGTTATTTAAACAGGTGTCACCAGTACATCAACCCTTGACTATGGTTTGAGTCCATTAAAGTTCATATTTGACAGCATTCAGATGAGTAATGGACAAAGAGCTGCGCATTCAAATCTCACGGTGTCAAACAGCACCTGTTTGCTTTGTGTGTGTGTGTCCATGAGCTTGTATTGCTGTCTTTGTGAGGACCAGTGTCCGTTTCAAACCATCATAGTGAGGACACATTGGCTTTGTGAGGACATTTTGGCCACACCCCCACTCCTTAATAAGAGTGTTTAAAGGTGAAGACTCAGAACTAGATTCAGGTTGGGTGTAGTGTTAGCGTCAGGCATTTATATGTGGTCTGAAAGGTTTTGGGGTTAGGGGAGAGAGAATGTCTCAAGTCAATACCAGTCCTCACAAGGATAGAAAAACAAACCTGGGTGTGTGAGACAAAGAATGATTGTTGTCTGGTTTGGTCTGAGCAAAGTTTGATTCAAGAATTCAGGTCCGTAAATCAAATCACATCCTGCCATCGGTGCAGTTTTGTTACCTGTCCTCAGTGTCCTGGTCCAGCTGGGGACAACAAGGCACACACAGGTGTTTACTGTCGGAGCACAGAGTGCACTCTGGGTGCAGACGGAGCAGCAGAATGCCAGGCACAGTGAAAGTGAAACTTAACCGTCCATTGCCCTGGTTCTAAAAGTTTGCTCTTAGTTGCCTCTGCAGCAGCTGCTCCTCTTAATCATCGATCTGATCTGATTGGACTGATTGATCAGTTATCCATCCCACGATTCAAACTCCACAAATTGCTGCGAAGGACAACTCATGAGCAGTTCTGCCTGCACCGATGGACGATCAGAAACCTCAGAATTTATAGAGGGGACACAGAATGATACGTCGTCAGCTACCATCACACAGAGATCCTAACTATGTGGGAAACACTGAGACCTACCTCAAAAACATTCATAGAAATTCTATAGAAACTCTTCTTAAAACCTCAGGAATGACCAAACAGCAAAGTTAAAATCACCACGCCACCACTCAACAATCAAATATCATGTAAAATTACTATATAAATCAAATGGACTTACCAAAACTCTTAAAGAGCACTTCACCAGTTTAGCACTGCAGAGCTTTGTGTTGTGCTATGCTAGTAGCAAATATAGCCAGGAGCGTCTAGCCTGCAGCAGAGATGGGCCCGTACACACACCGCGTTTTTAACCACCTGAAAAATGTGAGGTCAGGCACTGGGTGCTACTCTTGCACCCTCTCTTAGGGCTTTCACACCGGCAGGGCACCGGCACGGTTCTGGTTCCTGAACCCAATTTTGAACCGGCTGACACGTTCAGGCCGAAAAAATAATTGGTTCGGAACCTGAAAAGTTGGTTCACAGCAGAACCAAAAAATAGTTGGTTTTTCCTTGCGAACTGTGACATCATAAGTGGGTGTGTGTCATTCTCGGCTGTGTAGACCATAGATATTAGGGATGGGTCACGATTTTCAAATTTCGAATAGTCGTTTTATTTTTGAAAAATCCATTTTTTAATGCGACTATTAGTATTCGCAGTCTTATTTCCCCCCTTTATTTGACATGCAATTAAGCTCCTAACCGCACGAGGGCAGTATAGGATTGCTACAGCGGTGTGAGATGGGCCACCAGCTAGTTTGATGCTCTTCTACAAACAGGAGAAACATGCAGAGACTACTACTCCGCGAGGAATGTCCGCAGTCATTTGGGCTTTCATAGTCGAGTGCACATCCGCGTTGTAGTTTCCTGTAAAAATGGCCGTGAAAAATCCCTGCGATGTGAAAAATACATGCCGAGCAGTCACTGGTGCACGGAGCGGAGTCCACACGGTCGTAAAATCTGAGCTTTGCGCGCACAGGGCTTGCGGACGTCCGCTATGAGTCCGCGCGGACCTCCATGGAGTCCATTCTGCGTACGTTCCGCCCGAGGATGTTCGGGCCTTTAATGATGAATTGATCTCTGTGTGCGTGGCTCCAGGGGGGGGATTATTCGAAAAATTGTCGAATAGTTGCCACGGTTTTCGAATAGGGTTTTTGCTTGTGCTGCCCATCCCTAATAGATACCTATAAAAACACGAGCCTATACTTTTTACATACCATTCGCCTTATACGTAATCGTCTTCTATGTCTTCTCATCATCAACAGTTGGTGCATGCTGGATTGTTGGATGAAAACAAATAAGTGGAGTAACAAAGCAAAAGCTTGCAGATAATCCATGTGATCTGTCATTTTGCTGGCTGTTATGTTTACTTCCGCGTGAGTGCCGCGGAGTAACGTCCTCCCACTTTGGTTCTGCTTAAACTGGTGTGGACATGGGCTGGTTCGCCAGACAGCACCCAGGTTCTGAGACTCCAGGACGGAGCCAGAGCCGGAACCAGAACTGTGCCGGTGCCCTGCTGGTGTGAAACCGCTATCTGTGCCAGCTTTCAAGAGCATGGTGGCTGGTTGCTTCTGAGGTTGCTAAGCGACCATAACCAGCACCATATCATCGCCTGTTTACCTGAAACCCTGAGGTCAGAGCTGATCTACTTCCTGTGTGTCTGTGGGACAGATGAGACGCTCTGACAGCTCTGCACTAACATGATCAGCCTCTCCTCCATATTTATCACACACTGATATTTACTGAGGAAGGAAAGATATCTGTGGGCTGTGATTGGTTGGTCCTCGTCACATGACATGTGGTGCGTGCTGCTGCGTTTCAAAGGTTGAACTCTGTTTTTAGGCACTCAGGAAGGGCTGCCCGATGTGACAGCGTCGCTCTGGCATTTGAGCGCACCTGCCATGCATCTACGTTGAAAACAATGAATTAGAAGGCGCAAAAATGCAGCATGTGTACGGCGCCATGAGCAGCAGCTCAGAGAGGTCTGTTCAGCTCACTTCTTCTCAAAAGTTGAGGGCTTCAGCCCCAACCAACAACCAGACCCCACAGGCTGATCGAAATATCTCCTGTGAGTTAACACAACGTACAAGATTGATAAAAAAAAAAAAACCCACAGCATTCGCCAACCTTCAGCAGCCAAGCACAACGACCAAGCAGCTACCACACCAACACTGCAACCACTTGGCAGCCACCTTGAATCATCTCAGCAACCAACCAATTAAACACCACTGCAACTACATAGAATATATTAGCAACCTCTTGTGACACCTTAGCCGTAACAACCACCCTAACATCAAAGTGTCCACCATGCAACAACATAGTAAACGTCTTGGTAACCACAGTCACCACAGTTAATGCTTTAATCCATCAATTCATTCTGCATGCTGTAACTGAGTCACTCAACTGTGTTTTGTGTGCATTTAATCTGTGTCTTTACTTGTGATTACAGAACAATGATAGTTTTCCTGCCCTGTGAAGATACAGCAGAGGCAACATCAGACTGCAGGGCAGATTAAACCAGCCTGAACATGCCGCTAACACACAGCGGACACTGGTGCTCAGCAGGTGAGAGTTGTACAGGCCACTGGAAGCAAGCAGCCCCACAAACCACAACCCCAGCACTCCCAGTATGGCTGTGACAGTGTGAAAAGCCCTCTGCTTTGACTGGTCAACCCGCTGCTTTTCTCCGCCTCCTTCCCCTGGGCCTGGACGAATCAGAACACAGAGAACAGAAAGGCTGCAGAAAGACACGACTGCTAAGGAGAAGACCAACAGGATAATCAGTGGGATGAGGGCTGTATCAGGCAGATACAGAGCAGTTACACCCGTCATCACAAAGCTCATCAGCCAAACACATCCAATGCTGATGTTTCTGATCCTGACACCATGTTCATTTCTTAATCCCATGTAGGTGATGGGGTGAACGACAGCCAGGTATCGCTCCACACAGGTCAGGACGTGGAAGAAGGCCTCTCCACATACAACAAAAGAAGAAGTGTAGATTCCTGCGTCTATCATCTTCTGCAGGTTAACATACACGCCACAGATAATGCAGATGCACGCCAGGCCCCAGATCAGATTTAAGACAGCCATGTTGTAGGTGAAGACGTCAGAGTGGCTCGTTGTCTTAAAGGAGCACTGCTGCCGCCATCGTTGGTGACCCAGGTACAGGACGAGAGAGCCGAGAGGGAAGGTGAGGATGGTTCTTAAGGCAATACTGGCAGTGCTGATGTAAATGCTAACTCTGGAGTTGTAACAATCGTACGGTAAATGATTGCTGGAGTTGACAGTGGTAGAGGAGTTTGCCGCCATATCTACCGTATGTAGCTGCTGGCCTGAGGAGTTAAAAAGAGGAAGGAGACATGAGGTGTGTAAAAAGTGACAAGAGACTGAGACACAGTCAGATTAAAATTTTTCTTTAAGACTCTTTACAACAATTGCAACGACATTGATGGCCGTGAAATGAATTGCAGTCAGCCTTCTGTTGCTCACGCTGGCACTCCATAGCTGCGAGCGAGCACCTGGGCATCAGCCGAAACATTAGTAACGTGACACATACGAGGTGAACGTGATTGACTGACATTGTATCTACAGGATGCTGGAAAATAAATTACAGCCATATTTAGAATAACATTACTATCTACAATGTTCCAACTTTCATTTGGACCATTGGCCCCATGACACTAAGTAGCTCGCCCTTTGGAATTTGCTTTTTCAGGTAACGTTACGAAGCACCCAATGACTGAGCTGTGTAGAAGTAACAGCTATCTGGCTAACCTTAACTTACAGTTAGCTCATTGTCCGCTCCTGTGTCGCTGTTAGCTAGCGAAAGGCGCCTTGTACCATTACGTAATTTATTGTTGGCTAAATCAATACCATTTTTCAAAATGCATAAGTTTGTATCATGGATGACGTTAGCTGATAAAGCACGAGCTAGCCAGCTGACATATTCACTCAGGTTGTATTCTGCTCACGATAAGGATAGCAAGCATGCAAGCCAAAGTTAGCCAGCTCTAACTAAGCTATGCTGCATGGGTCTGATGTTGGTTGCTTCGTAACGTTAGCTAATGAAGTCATTTGCAAACGGCAAGCTAGCCACTTTACTGGCCTAAATAGAAACAGATACATCATTGGCAACAGCACCCCGTTCAATGCTGTGAAAGTTGCTCAGTGGTGCATTAAGCCAAAACTGCTTTATTTTTGTAGTATAATATTACCTGGATAATCTGCACTGCGTCCGCATCACTGGGCCCATAGCACACTAGAGACTTCCACCGGCGTAGCAGCTACTTCCTGTTTAATGCTCCACTAAGTTTAGTGGGGATACAAACGATTTAATCTTGCGGCTCTGCTGGACTTTCCGAATGTTATCGGACCAAATGGAGTGAAATGAGTAATTTGGAGGGGGTTTTGAAGCTCAAAAAAATATATCTACTGATTTAAAGATGTCTTTTGCCCATCATGATTCTAGGTGAAAGAGTATTTTTGGGCCCAGTGGCATCACGTGACAGGTTTGGAAGCTGTAATTAAACTGTTTGGCCACTATGAAAAGCCCGGCACACTTCCTGGGGTCTTGAATCAGCCCTGGAGTCTGGATGAATCAGATGACGTTAATCACTCAAGACAGTATTTTGCTGCGATAGCTAGGTAGCAGTTCATCTGCATTAGCAAAATAGCTAACATTAGCCAGCTAAAACCATAATGTTAAGATGTATTTTACAAGTCAGTGTTTCCTATAAGGTTAGTATTTGATTCGTAATTCTGATATGGGGCACTGAATTTGATAAATTTACTAAATCAGACCACAAATGAGGCAGGAATTAGCTAGTTAGCAAACATCTACGACACTACTTCCCTGAAAGGATGGCAGCTCAGACTTCCAGCTGAGTCTAACTCATTTAAGCCATGTAAAGGCAGCAACAGAAAGTTTGCTCATATGATAGGTAGTTGGGGCAGTCAAGCAGAGCCTCTGGCACTGGGTCTTGCTCTGGCTTAATTTAAGTTGCTACGGGGTGCTAAGTGAAGGACCGCCTCCAGGACACAGCTGCAAAATGTGTTTATCTGTAACACAGAATGTGTGAACTCTGTGTTGTGTTGATTCAAAATAAGATTTAACTCTCAGTGATTGGTTTATAGTACTGTCTAGTTTGTACCTTCGGACCTTTTGTCAAAGAACCAGATATTTTATGTTTTATTTTCTAACGTAGTTGTTCATCTTTTGTATTGATGATTCAAGCAGGAGAGTTTTGTGGCCAGCAAAGCCTTGGAAATGCTCCACCTATTACTCGGGCACCCAAAATAAGTCTTTTTGCGACTTCATTGAAAAATAAAAAATAAATGGATTTTAAAAATTGTTCATCGTAAAAAACTAAACAAAACAAACAAAACAAAAACATAAGCAAGTGGCCCTTACCTTTTAACACCTATACTTTACCGATATTAAAACAAATGGACGATCTTTTTTAATTCATAGGCCATTACAACATCCTGGGTTTCTTACACGTTCTTTTTGCCCTCTTTTTTCTTCCATTATTGAATCACGATATAAGATCAGACTTTATCTTAGGTCAGAAATGCTAAAACAGGTTTTCCCTCTTGTACTTGTCACGTCTCCTACAGCCTAACGCACCACTTCTTTTGCCTCCTTTCTCTGCAGTGACTGAAACAAAACACTGGAGCCCCCAAACGTATATTAACTGTAGCTTTCCTGTGGATCTGTCTCAGCCTCAATGTCTCCATTAATGGGCAACTTAACACCCCTTTTAGCTACGATGCAGCATCACCAATGAAGCACTTATTTTGCCAGGAGAGAGTATTTGATAGTACTCATGCAACAGGAATTATCCCATCATTACTTTTTACTTCTTACAATTCTAATAAACATTGAAGTTATTAAATGTCACTCACCTTGTCAGTGATGTTTTCTGATTGTTCTCCTCCTGCGTCTCCACCCTCATCAGCTGCTCTTCACTGATATCGAGTGACATGTGGCTGGGAGCTTTGGGAGGTTTGGGAGGTTTGCATATTGCAAAACCAATAAGTTATTTTGTGTGACTGAATAATGAGCTGTCTGACCCAGTGCTCGCCCCATCTGTGACTTCAGCCCTTAGCATGTAATCTGTATAGACAGACATCAGCAGACATCTTGTGACACTGGTCTTATTTGGAATGAATAGAAGGTTTGTTTGTTTGTTTTTTTAGGTTTTTTGTTTATTACTGCACAAAAAATCCCACAAAGTCCTTCAAAATAAAATTTCTAAGTTAATCACAGCTGTATTCTGACATGTCACATGTGCAGGCCATCAAAACTTCCCACGAATAAAAAAAGGCATCTTGTTCCAACGAATGTGTCATCCACTGGTACTTGGAGGATTTGAAAGTTGGACTGTTCACGTCCAGAAAAAGAATCATGAGCTTATTGCACCTGATGATAAATGATGAGAAAAGACAAACAGCATTTAATATCATCTCACTGTCTGAGGTCACACTTTGAATGACCTCCAAGACAAATCCTGTAATAAATCATGGACAGAAACGCATTATAAACACAGTAAAGGTCATTTATTAATCACTGATACAGACAGACATGTACAGTAATGCGTATCATCAAACAATAACATCAGTGTGTTTATTTAAACAGGTGTCACCAGTACATCAAACCTTAACTATGGTTTGAGTCCATGAAAGTTCATATTTGACAGCATTCAGATGAGTCATGGACAAAGAGTTGTGCATTCAAATCTCATGGTGTCAAACAGCACCTGTTTGCTCTGTGTGTGAATGCTTGTATTGCCATCTTTGTGTGCACTAATTTGAATTTGAATTTGAATTTTATTAGCACACAAGATGTGATAAAAACAAATGTATAAAAATAAACATGGCAGGGATTGTGCAGGAGAGGTAAGGAACCCAAAGGAGCTTATGGTGAAAACTTCCCCTCTAGAATTTCAAATCTACTCTAATACAAATATTTCTCTACTAAATGTGAGAATATAACAGACAAAACAAGTAGTTAAAATGATCATAAATAGATGAAACAGACACATTAACACAGCTAATACATTATATCACAGGTGGTCTTTCATATTAGATTTAAATGAGAGTAATGATGGACAAGTTTTGATAAATTTCAGTTTTCACTTCAGTTTCAGTTATGAGCCATCACAGTGGGGACACATCTGCGCTGTGAGGACATTTTGGCCGGTCCTCAGTACTGACAGCCTGTTCTCATTCCAGAGGCATCAAATAGCGACGCTTAGGTGCCTGACACCTGACGTCAAAAGCCTCATTTGCAGTGGCATGACACACCGCCAGGTGGCGTCAGTTGGTAATGCGGCCGGACAGAACCTTTTGTGTTTTAATGATACACCGCCAGTCGGCCATACAGCACCTGCCATGGTGGTATGATGCATGGACGGGCAGTGTTAGCTCATAAAGCGGTTGGAAGGCACCTGTTGTGGTGATATGATACAGGTTGAAATGCTGCCCGCAACGACATAATATAAGGAGCAGGAAAGTCCCTGTAGGGGGTGGGAGGGGAGGTGGATTGGACCAACAAACACTGGACTTTCACCTGGGAGGCCGGTGTTCACTACCTGTATGAATGTGGAGCCAAAAAATGTTGTTTCTAAACCTAAACATGTGCTTTTCTGACATCCCAGCATTCATAGCAACATCCCAGAATGTCAACAGCAGACGCAGTAGGATACCTACTGTGTAATATGTAGAGGTGAAAGGCCGCTGACAAAGTGACAACATGTGACGACTTGGGATGAGAACACATTGGTACTTAAAAGGACTGTTTGAATGTTAAGTCAGAATTAGGTTTAGGTTAGGGGACCTCAGGGGTCAGGCATTGAAGTCCACGAGTTGAAACAACTACTGTCAACGCTCAGTTCTGTAATGTTGTAAAAACCTGCCGGTTCACAGGAAGTGACCACCATGAGACGGTGTATCATCTCTAGTCAATGACTCTCTGCGCTTCTGATCTGTAACGTTGACAGGAAGTGACCGCCATGAGACGGCGTATCGTCTCTAGTCGACGACTCTCTGTGCTTCTGATCTGTAACGTTGACAGGAAGTGACCGCCATGAGACGGCGTATCGTCTCTAGTCAACAACTCTCTGTACTTCTGATCTGTAACGTCGACAGGAAGTGACCGCCATGAGACGGCGTATCATCTCTAGCCGACAACTGTCTGTGCTTCTGATCTGTAACGTCGACAGGAAGTGACCAACATGAGACGGTGTATCATCTCTAGTCAACAACTCTCTGCGCTTCTGATCTGTAACGTTGACAGGAAGTGACCGCCGTGAGACGGCGTATCATCTCTAGCCGACAACTCTCTGTGCTTCTGATCTGTGACGTCGACAGGAAGTGACCGCCGTGAGACGGCGTATCATCTCTAGCCGACAACTCTCTGTGCTTCTGATCTGTGACGTCGACAGGAAGTGACCACCATGAGACGGTGTATCATCTCTAGTCAACAACTCTCTGTGCTTCTGATCTGTAACGTTGACAGGAAGTGACCGCCGTGAGACGGCGTATCATCTCTAGCCGACAACTCTCTGTGCTTCTGATCTGTGACGTCGACAGGAAGTGACCGCCGTGAGACGGCGTATCATCTCTAGCCGACAACTCTCTGTGCTTCTGATCTGTGACGTCGACAGGAAGTGACCACCATGAGACGGTGTATCATCTCTAGTCAACAACTCTCTGTGCTTCTGATCTGTAACGTTGACAGGAAGTGACCGCCGTGAGACGGCGTATCATCTCTAGCCGACAACTCTCTGTGCTTCTGATCTGTGACGTCGACAGGAAGTGACCACCATGAGACGGTGTATCATCTCTAGTCAACAACTCTCTGTGCTTCTGATCTGTAACGTTGACAGGAAGTGACCGCCGTGAGACGGCGTATCATCTCTAGCCGACAACTCTCTGTGCTTCTGATCTGTGACGTCGACAGGAAGTGACCACCATGAGACGGTGTATCATCTCTAGTCAACAACTCTCTGTGCTTCTGATCTGTAACGTTGACAGGAAGTGACCGCCGTGAGACGGCGTATCATCTCTAGCCGACAACTCTCTGTGCTTCTGATCTGTGACGTCGACAGGAAGTGACCGCCGTGAGACGGCGTATCATCTCTAGCCGACAACTCTCTGTGCTTCTGATCTGTGACGTCGACAGGAAGTGACCAGAGGAAAATCTTGCGTTAAAGTCTGTTTTTTTGTGACCCATCCACCACCCCAACCTGCTTCCTTAAATCCCCCAGGGCAGCTTCCTTATTTACTGCTCTCAGCACATTGATCACATGATCACAGCTTTTCAAAATATGTGGGATATGTATGAATTTGCCAACCTGTAGCAGCCACGCTTAGAAGCACTTAGCAACACCCAAGCAGGAACGCACAACAACACTACAACCACTTTGCAGCCACCTTGAAACACGTCTGCCACCAGTCCTTGTGACAGCCTAGCCATAAGCTAACAACCTCCCTAACATCAAAGTAACCACCATGCAACAACACAGTAACCACTACAGCGACCTTAGTCCGCATGGTGAGTTGTTTAATGTCTTCACTCTTTGTTATAACAGCAGCATGATAGTTTTCCTGCCCTGTGCAGATACAGCAGAGGCAACATCAGACTGCAGGGCAGATTAAAAAGGGATACAGATGACAGCAACACACAGCCAACACCGCTTTGGCTCAACTGGGGAGAGGCGTTCAGGATGGTGGAAGCAAGGAGCCCTACAAACCACAACCCCAGCATTCCCAGTATGGCTATGATAGCCTGAAAAGCCCTCTGCTTTGATCGGTCAACCCGCTGCTTTTCCCCGCCTCCTTCCCCTGGGCCTGGACGAATCAGAACACAGAGAACAGAAAGGCTGCAGAAAGACACAACTGCTAAGGAGAAGACCAAAAGTAAGACTGATGGGACGATGGGTAAATCAGGCAGATACAGAGCAGTTACGCCCGTCATCACAAAGCTCATCAGCCAAACACATGCAATACTGATGTTTCTGATCCTGACACCACGTTCATTTTTTAATCCCATGTAGGTGATGGGGTGAACGACGGCCAGGTATCGCTCCACACAGGTCAGGACGTGGAAGAGGGACTCTCCATAGAAAACCAAGGAAGTACCATAGATTCCTACATACACAATCTTCGGCAGATTACCATACGTGCCACAGACGTAGCAGAGGCACCCCAGGACCCAGATCAGATTTAAGACAGCTGTGTTGTAGGTGAAGACGTCAGAGTGGCTTGTTGTTTTACAGGAGCGCTGCTGCCGCCATCGTTGGTGACCCAGGTACAGGACGAGAGAGCAGAGAGGCAAGGTGACGATGGTTCTTAAGGCAATACTGGCAGTGCTGATCTTAGTTCCAATTGTAGAGTTGGAGCAATAGTGGAGTAGTTGGTCGTTGGTAGAGTTAGCTGCCATCCTGTGCGAAGGTGTTGGCCTGAGGGGGAAAAAAGTACAAAGAGAAAGTTAAGACAGGAAGTGTAGACAAAGGGAAAAGACAGACGGATATCGGTCCTGTTGCCTGAAGAAAATGTGAAGAAAATGTTGGCATTGTACATTTCTGCAAACCACAAAGATGTTGCATTTGCATCGGATAATATCAACGCTTCTAAAGCTATGTCACATGTGAGCCGAGTTAGTCATCTGGAGGCGGAAGGGATGGATGATGTTAAACCTCGACAGGACATCGGCCAAGCTTTAGACCACTGCACACAACTGTGGGACAACAACCAATAAAACCAGTTGTCTTTTATCAAGGCATTGCTGTGTTTCTTGCACCTTCCTGGGCACCAAACATGGGTGTTTCTGCATTTCCTGCTGGGATAGTGCCACAAAAGTGATTGTTCTTCACCAAGACATTGCTGCTTTTATAATGAGGACTGTACCCCCTGGGTAAGCCCAAATGTGATCTTTTCCACCATAACTAAGTGAA